GAAAGTAATAACTGTTCCTTTTCCAATGGAAAAAACGTTTTATATGTGCGTGCACCTTTAAAAATCTTTTCATATTCGAGTGTACGTCATGGGACACTCTGCCAGTGAAAATTCGAAGAATAATAAAAATCATAATAAACAGAAAATGTTTAGAATCGCTATAAGTGCGGGAAGAAACGATCTAAATCTCGAGGGGCATGTACAAGTGCGGTATTGCAGTAAAACCGTCAAAAATTTCAATCCCATTGAAAAGACCCAGGAGTATAGTATTCAAAACGTTGAAGAATGAAAGGATTTTGTAATTTTGCTTGTGAACATGGACGACTACTTATTTAGCGTGTATTACGATCCTAAACAACCCGGAGGATTTGACGGTGCGTAACGTTTGTATGGAGACGTTAAAAAGGAAGGAAGGTTCGCGCTAAGTCGTAAAGAAATTATGGAATGGCTAATGAAACAAGATGCATACATGTTGCATAAACCCATGCGTCGTCACTTTAAACGAAACCGTGTCATCGTGGGCGGTATCGATCAACAGTGGCAAATGGATCTGGCGGATATGCAATCCATGCAGAAGTTTAATGATGGATATCGCTATCTACTCGTGTGCATCGATGTTTGTTTTCCAAATATGCATGGGCAATCCCGTTGAAAAACAAGACGGGTCCTACACTGGTCGAAGCTTTCAAAGTCATTTTAACGTCTGGACGCAAACCCGAAAAGATCATAACGGATCAAGGAACAGAGTTTCTAAACAAACATTTCCGATCGTTGATGAAAGAAGAAGACATCGAACCGTACTTACGGGAACCACTCAGTATTTTAAGAAAATACAAAATAACAGTAACTCCAAATAACATTTTGATTTTTAATCGACGTTTCGACTAGTTTGTAGTCATCCTATTAGTATTATTATTTGTAGTCATCCTTATTAATCATGAGGATGACTACAAACTAGTCGAAACATCGATTAAAAATCAAAATGTTATTCGGAGTTACTGTTATTTTGTATTTTCGAACTGTACAATACGTAAAATGAAACGAGAGCTTCTATCGTGGAACGTCTCATTCGTACTTTAAAAACCAAAATGTGGCGCTATTTTACGGCCTAGAAAACCATGCAATACCTAGACATGTTACCCGATCTGGTCTATTCCTACAACCATAGTGTTCACCGTAGCATCAAGACAAAGCCCGTTCTGCTGAGAACGAGAAGAAAGTGTGGCACACTCTGTATGATGACCGTATGATGCCTGTTTGTATCTAGTTGTGGATAGATTTTTACATACATGTGCATAGAGTAGTTATATATTTTTCAATTTTCATCTGTAAATAATATTGCCATTTTTGTGTGTTGTTCTAATATTACTGTAAATAGTGACACACTTTTACATTAGATTGCTAATTTTAGAGATTACAGTGTATGTATAAAATAATAAAATAAAAATTTTCTTGTAATGATTTTGTAGAAAGAGATCTATTTGAGTGGTTGGCTGGTCTTGAACATGGTCAGGTAATGAAGGTGATAGGGCAGAAAGTGATAGGGCAGAAAGTGGTGACCAGTTAAGTGATGAGGATGAAAGTGACGAGGACGAAATCACCCATGGTGTACCATTCAAGTGCATCGGTGCTGCATGCTCATGAGAAAAGCTAGCAACATCGTTTTGGAACAGGCATACCTTGCTCTTCATTGGCCAGAGCAATTGAATTCGATGGACCCAAGTGCAATTGATCTAGACTATGGAACAGGATGGACACATGTTGGTTATATTGCTTCTGAACTATGCGAGTATTTGCACCCACTAATTGCCGCAGGAGATATCTTAGAGGTCAATAATGTTCAGCATATCAAGTATAGGGTTGAATTTTTTAAAATAGGTTGTTATCCAAAAATTTCTTAAAGCGACGCGGTGAGTGGGAGACTCAAGTGGTAAGGAAGAGAATGAGTGTACGTTGACAGGTGTTTGTGATATAATAGCAACTGATCACTAGGTTTAGCAAGTTATAGAAATTCTGTTACTTCAATTGGTTAACTATTAGATTTTTTTTCAGCATTTTTAAATTAAACAAAAACTAGGTTAATCACAAGTGGGTGCAATTAAAACAATCTCTGTCATGCGCACTCGTGCAATTAAGTACATAATTGTAACATGTGCTGTACTAAATTAATAAATAAATAGTTTATACATTCACTTGACCAACTTTGTGAGTAAATAATACAACAATAAAACAAAAATATATCTTTAAATACAAAAATATGTATTTATATACAATAATATTGATCAAAAGTCCCACAATAACATGCTGCTGATGCTTTAATTAAGGTACTTATATGAAAATACAAAAAAACCTGCATATAATGCACCTATCAATGTGGGGGGTTGGTTGGGCATATGTGGGGTTTTTGATCATTAATTGCATCTCCACCCCAGGGGTTTTAATTAGCTATAGTTAGCTATGGATTAGCATTTGGGCCCAAGTTAGGGCAATTTGAACCAAAATGACTTTTATTAATATAGTATTTATTGCAATTTGTTGCAAAATGGTAGGGTATTTGACCAATATTTATTGCCCAATAGTGAGCACTGAGCATTTGATTGAAAATTTAATAAAAAAAATCAAATGCCCCACATTGCCTCTGGGGCTTGACATTGATAGGCGCATAAGAACCACCATTTTTCAAACTTTATCTGAAATAGTTGTGTAACAGCATTTATACAAAATACTGTTAAAAAAGGCCAAGTGTGCCTTCACTGCAATAAAGAGCATTCTATCCAATGGCATTATTGGCCAACATCTCCATGGCGTTGTTCTCCAAAGCATCGAGGAGCGTTGTAAATCAGATTGTCTTTTTTACCAGCATGAAGTACAGACATATTTAGCCTTGGCAGCAAGTGAGATGAGGGGCAAATTTAGCATCTAAACCAGGATTAAGTTTTACCAACCATTTTTGAAACAGGTGGATGAGTAGTTGTTCTTGTTGTCGCTGGGTTAGTTTTGAAAATCCAGAAGTCATGTCAAGTCATCATATCAGTAACATTACCAGAGAGGTGAACAAGTTTAGAACTCCAAATGTGGTGATGATGCTTAATAATTCTTGCAGATGAAATCATTGACAAAAATAGAATCCACTAGCCAATATCACGAATCTCAAATCTAACACATCAGTCAAACAATGAATTTCACCAATAAAATGTTGTTACAGAAGTGCTTTAAATATTTACATACTTCAACCAATATATATAAATCCATAATATATCGAAACGTCTATAGTGTATCAACTTTAATAATTAATAATTTCTTTGATCAACATCATGAAAGCTTTTGATTGGTTGCAAATTCACATAAACAACAGTTTTAAAAATAGCTCGGTCAAGGGCTCAAGGCGATAATTAATATAAAGGTCAAACGCACGTAACAAATTCCATTGTCGATTCTTCGAATTTCTTTTATGCTTTATGGCAGAAAATACATCAAGCAAACAGTATTTTGAAAGGGCTTTATTAAAATCTTTGAAAAATTTTGAACACACGACGCTGAAAGAACAGCCAAACTAGTCATGTATTCGAAAGCTTGTTTTTGACAGTCAAAATGTTCTGCCAACTGGCTTCGCCGGCAAAAGTCTTAGTCGGCAAAAGCATTAGTCAGGTCCTACCGGCGTTGTTTTTCGAGCTACATCGCCTTTTTCGTGGTACGATTGAGAATTTCATTGTTGCTGTTGTTAGCCCTTTAGAGTATATCCGCGTCCAGCAAGTTGAGACCTTGAGAAAGCTTGGCAGTCAAGCCGTGCCCAGAACTGACTAATTAAATCTTTGTTTGCTGTTCGGTTAAATAGAGAAACTGACTCTTAATTATATAAAAGTACCTTGAATTTTTAAGTTTAATTAAAAAACAAAATGCACACTCTGCGGACATATTCATCAGAATATAAATTTTTTTTGCAACGAAATCTACAACAATTGTCAATCATATTGCATGCTGTGTCTAAAAATAACATGTGGGCGTCCCACGATCTAGACAGGTTTTGTGTCAGGCCCTATATAACATTTGTGCCTGAACTTCAGGTTACCTGAAAGATAAATAAACTGGATGTTAACTGAAATCGCGTTGATTTTATGGATATCTATTGTTGTCGGACTTGTATTCGGACACGAACAGGACTGGTGATAACTAAATATTATTATAAAATTAGGCTTTTTAGATGCCAATTTTTGTATTATTAAGGTATTTCAATTAATATATCTGTTTTATAAATTTGTTTGGTTTGTGAATATTTTCAATCCGATTTTAACGGTAAAAACAAGTTGTATTTTTCGTGCAACTTGGGCAAGTTACATAGTCAGATTTGGCGGGCTTTACAAACATCTGCCTGTTTCTTGTATCGATAAATATTTCAAAATGACTTCCTCCTCAAGCATGCAATTTTCGCTGTGGATACCCCGAATGCAAGAAAGATTACGATTCCTACAATAATTCATAAATTATTGTGCCGTAGCTAGACGCGATAATTGGGGGGGTATATTCATATATTCACGTTCACATACCGCAAGGCATGTGAACATGTATGGAGCTGTATGGAGCTTGTTAGCGATGTATTTCTGCCGAGTAAAATAAGCGAAGTAACCCATTTTTCAAGAGTAAATTCTTTTAGGAAGAAATGAAAGAGCATTTTCTACAGCCTGTTGTTCACCATGTAAGTCCTTAGAAGTTTTTTTTTGTCAAAGAAAACTTCGAATGGCTGTGTGACATTCAAAATTTCTGCGGGATTTTAATCCTTTATGTTCCCTACAATAGCATGCGGGATGTTTGCGGGACCAGTACCTGGAACATCCCACACAACCGCACGGTCAAAACGAAAACAAAAACTGACCGAGTTTTTTTTTAAACGAATTTTTTATGGAAAAAATCGTTCAATAATCCTTCCTTTTGAATGCCCGATCAATTGCGAGTCCATACAGCAATTCTGCATATGACACGAATATCGCTAGACCAAAAAACTACTAGGAAGCAATGTTTTATAATTTTTTAAAACACACTGTCAACTGTAAAAAAATTGCTAAATTGCACACAAACTTTTAATAAACGTTTAAAAGTCGTTTAGATATACTTTTGTGTTTCTGCATTAAAGTGATTACATATAAACGAAAAAATATCACAGTTTCATAGCCTTGTTCATGTTTAGCAAAAGTACAAAACCAAACAAAAAAACACGTCTATCTGTTAGGCAATTACAGTTCGCAGATTGATTATACGCCAGGTTTCAATTGGCTTCAACCTTAGAGGTTTTGTGTTTTCATCGATTTGATTCTTCATAATATTACTTGACTGTCCATGCAGGCACTCCAATAAATCAAAAGTTGAAAAAAACGTACCCCTGTAAAAACAACATTACCACTCGATTTTGCTGGATGAAAGCTTGTTCTGTGCCCGCTTGTAATCTTTCACTAGTCAGCGACGCTTTTCTATAAGTGGAATTTCAGGCAATTTGGCCAGTTAAACGAGGGCATTTTACATCAACGCCGTTCCGGACGTAAGCCCGGGGCGAGGGTACTAATTCCTTCCCCCCCCCGGTTATTTACACCCGGGGAGACGAAAACATTAGCGAAGTCTAAAGTTTGTCAAGAATTGCGGGCGTGGGTGACCAACGGTGGGCTGTCATGAATAGCGAACACTGATTTGTCATATTTCAAGTTTTCATTATAACGACTGCATGACGACAGCGAAATAGCAAACATTTCTTGATTTGATGATTTCTTGCAAATAAATTTCCTTTTGGCAAGATATTGTGAATTTCAAAAGCTTTTTAAGAAAAAAAGGCGAGAGAATCGGCTAAAAGAAGGAAGCAAAAGCGCCGACGTTAATTAACGAAGATAAGTTTGTTTTAAATATTAATGTATTGTTTGCTTATAGAATTGATTTAAAATCCGGTCATGTAAAACGTTGCGTACGTAAATGTAACAAGACAGCATATAATTTAGTGTATATTTTATAATTGGCTACCCTTTTTTATTATATTTAATTTAATAAATAGAAAAGAAAGCAAAGTTATTTGCATGCGATACTTTGAAATCATTTCATTTCAAACTCAAAGTTTATCGATAAAGTCAAAAGGCAGTTTAGTTTAATAAAGAAAACTTTAAAACGTTTTCCGTTTGAAGCGTTTGTGGTTGAGTTTGACCTTAAATTGAAGCTTATATTAAGTATAATAACATACCTAACAAAAGTATGCTTGGGAAATTGGTAATTTTGTAATTAAAGTGATATTTTTAGGGGATTTTTTATTTGTAAAAATATTCAGTAAAAAATTATCGTGTTACCATGACATCTACTTTAAATACTTCATGTTCGGAAAATACAATGGTTTTGTCAAAAGGCGAGGGTTTCTGCTTGCATGTATTTCCTAGAATATATTTCAAATTTTAAAAAATTCTTTACAATGGAATGAAATCTTGTTATAAAATTTTTGCTTTTAAAAAAATCGCACTGTAAAGAAATTTATTAAATTTTCTCAATAGTTGCCGAACATTATGCTCTATTGATATATGAATTAAAAAACAAAGGTCACCAGATTAATTTTTCAGATAAAGACAATTCTGTGTCTAAAATAGCTTCGCCATGTTGCCATGGCAACAGTGACATTGTCAAACATGAGTTCTAAAAACTCCACTGATGTTAGATACTGCCTCCAAGAAGAAACGAAAGCACGATCTGTATTAATAGGCCTGTACTACAGAGATGTTCGGTGGACAACTGTAGGGAGCCACCTTAAAACTGTATATTGTTATTGTTGCTGTCGCTGCTGTCGCTGCTGTCGCTGCTGTTGTTGTTGTTGTTGTTGTTGTTGTTGTTGTTGTTGTTGTTGTTGTTGTTG